GACCATGGTTTTGAGTGAAACCATGGTTGTGCACAGGCTGACATCTCCTCGCAGCACCACTGTCTTCCGTTCCACCTAAATCTCCATAGTCAAAAGATTTACAATCCACCTTTGTTTCCCCTATTGTTTGTAATCACTTCATCCCTAGAATCACATTAGTGTTCCCCAAATCCAAGGGAAGAAAATCCTCCACTATCTATGTCCTGGAGTGTCAGCACCAGCCTCCTGCAAATCCCCCTACTCCTCTCCACCTTGTTCCCATCATGACTCAAGAGCTCCTCGTATCCGCCAACTCCAAACCCAACTGGTCCACGACCTAATTTGAGTTGAAGTGTGAGTAGCTCTGCTATCCACAAAGACTACCACTTTTCGCTCCTTGATTTGTCCCCTCACCCTCACCTTCATGGTGTGATTTGGATGAAATCCCACCAGTTAGTTCAGGGACACTTCTGCCACATCAAAGTGCAGGTGTTATCCTCCCTCTTCTACTTCCTCATTGAACTCCTCGTTATCGGTCTCCTCTTTATTATAAACCATAAGGATCTCGAGTGTGCGGTCCTTGCATCGATGGCCAGGTGCATACTTCTCATAACATTGGAAGCACAAGCCCTTCGCTCTTTTTTCCTATACTTATGCCTCTGTGAGGCACTTGAAGTTGGCTCCGGGGCGAACTCCCACACTCTTCTCCCTCGGTGCCTCCTGTTGAAAAGACATCGTTTTGGTCTCGGTGCCAGTGTAGTCAAGATACTCTTATTGGAGCCTCCTGTGACTCTGCTCTTGCTGGTCTTATCCATCTATCTCTAATCTTCGCTATATGGGTTAGCTCATCCTCTCCCCCCCACTCCCTTGGTCTCAACTATCGGAGGTCTTCCCATATGTCGGGCTTCAAGTCCATCATGAAATTTTCCTCAATCAATGCCCTCTGAAATCCCCCTTAAATAGGGTTGTCAACATTTGAGACGATCCGAAAACCCGATTTGAACCCAATAAGGAAATTTTGAGTTTGGGTTAGTATTTTCGACATGTATAAAAAATCAGGTCGGATTCGGGTTGACTCGAAAACCCAGGAATGACTCGGAATAGGTTGCCTGCCTCTGTCGCCTGCCCGGATGCCCACTTCACTTGCCTGCGTGCCCGGGTGACAGCGTTGCTTGCCGTGTGCCCGAGTCACCTGCCTGCTTTTCCCGCATCGTCTGCCCGAATCGCCAGGATGCCTGCATGCCCGAATCGCATGTTGGCGTGCCGCTCGTCGCCCGCTGACGTGCGTCGTTGCCTTTCCTGCTTGTCGCTGCCTCGTTGTTTGGCCATTTCAGCGTAGCTGCCGATGCAGCTGTCTGGCTAGTTCCGCTATCGCGCCGGCGTGCCACAAGAGAATAAGCTTACGAACGTAAGGTTGACGACAGTTTTATTAGTTGGATCGGGTTGACCCGAACCTGAAGAGGGTCGGGTTCAAGTCCAAAAAATTTCCGTTTGCAAAAACTGGTCAGGTTCGGGTTGACCCGAATAGTGTCGGGTCAGTCAAACCCGACCCGTGACCCGATTTTGACACCCCTACCTTTAATTGCCCTGGCAATAATTGAAATCTCTCCCTACACTCCATAACATTCCCCTCTTGAGTCAAGTAAAAGAATTGCTTGTGTAGATCTCCTTCTCAAGTGGCTCAAAAACGTTCCAATAAACAATTTTTAAATTCCTCCCAAACTTGGATCGGATATTTGGCCTCCCTCAATTGGAACCAAGCTAGTGCTTTCCCCTCCAGACATAGCCCCGCGGTCGCATGCTTCTCATCTTCATTCAATCCATTAATTGTAAAATACCTCTCCACCCGGTACACCCATCCATGGGCATCCTCTTCCTCAAATATTGACATCATTAACTTCCTCACCCTAGTATCTCCCCTCCAACTTTCCCTCCCTCTAACAGTTTCCTTCTTGTCTCGAGGGTGGTAATCACGCCTTTCTTCCCTTCTCCTTGCATGACCTGATCCCTATGGCTCGGCTCGAACTCTTCCATCTCCAGTAGCCCATATCCCTTGCTCGAAATGCCTCCCATAATGGTTGGCCACCCTACCATTTCCACCAAATAATTTCCTTCTTGTTATACCCCTATTTGGGAACTCTGATTCGCCCCTTATCAGATCCCTAGAAGATGGCTCTTGATGAAAGAAACTCTCCTCGTTGAAATCCTCCCATTCTATCTCCTTTCCCTTAGATTCGGCTAAGGGAATCTTGGTTAGGTTTAGCAATCAGAACCGCCGGTGGAGTTTTTGATTGCACCTCCATGAGTTTCCTCATCATCTCCTCCAATCCTCCAAATCGGTTTTCCATCCGATTTTCCATCGTTGAAAACATTCCTTCGATGGTTGAGAACTCCTCCATCCCGGATTTGATTTGCTCTACTTTGCCTTCCAACATATCCACCTTTTTTGCTACCATCTTTCCAAAATCTCGCTCTGATACCAATTTGATGTGTCTTGTAAGTAAAAATAACTAGAAGATGAGAAGAAAAAATGCATGAATACAAAGATAGGGGCTGATTTTTTATTTCTCCTTCAATGATAATACAAGTACAATTGATCTACTATTCAAGATATAGATCAACTCTCCCACAAACTCTAGCCGCCGCTTGAAAACTTGGACAAACCCTTGAAATAAAATTCAGCAAACAAACGTTCCTAACCCTAGACAGAACTCCTTAAATAGCCCTTACACATAATAAACACAATTGGATCCTTCCTAAACAATACGCAATTAGGAAACCTTCCGAAATAACATAAACACAATTAGAAAGCCTTTCCAAATAATTAAAACTTTCATTAACAACATAAACTCAATTAGGAAACCTTCCTAAATATCTCCGTCTTAATTCCTTCTCCTTAATGAATAATAGCTCCCTTGGGCCCTACAAGCGCCCCCCTCCCCCCTCTCCCCTCTCCAGCATATCAGATCCATGTAGAAAAAATACTAAAGTACTTTTTGTTTTTCTTATTGAGTGGACTATAATTAAAATCCTAGATAAGGAGAAGATGAAGATAATTTATATTTATATTTATTTTGTTCCATATAGTTTTCTTTCGATAACAAACCAATCACATAAATATGGCTCTTCTTCATATAAATTATCATCCTCTTTATAAAAATAATCTAAATGGTTTCATGTATTATGTATCATTGGACTTAGCTTGATAGATAAAGCTTTAAATTTAATGTTTTCTTGAATTAAGTTATCATTAATATATTGATCAATATATTGAAACTAATTTTCTTAGTATTATTCTTTTTATGAATGTATAGAATACAACAACAACAACATCAAGCCTTTGTCCCACTATGTGCGGTCGGCTACATGAATCCTTTTTCGCCATTTTGTCCTGTTAATAAAGAAATATCATTTCTAATATTTTCTAACCAAGTCCTTTTAGGTCTACCTCTATATTTCTTAACATAAGTCAAATCTAATACCTCAACCTACCTAACCGGGTCATCGGAAGGTTTTTAATGTGACCAAACCATCTAAGGCGACTCTCTCTAATCTTATCTTCTACTAGAGCTACTCCAACCTTATCACGTATATGCTCATTTCGTATCCTATCTCTAAGGGTAAAGCCACTCATCCACCTAAGCATCCTAATCTCTGCAACACTTAACTTAGTATTATGCTTCTCTTTTAATGGCCAACATTCGACACCATAACGCATTGTAGGTCTCACCACCATCTTATAGAATTTCCCCTTAAGTTTGAGCGGGACTTTTCTATCGCACAACAATCCTGATGCATTCATCCACTTCAACCATCCAACTTGAATTCTGCTGATAATATCCCCATCTATTTCACCATCAATCTGAACAATAGATCCAAGATATCTAAAACGTGTACTCTTATTAATGACTTGATTGCCCAAAGTCACAATCTCTTCACTAGGTCTATTGCTACTAAAATTGTTCTCCACATATTTAGTTTTAGATATGCTCGAACGAAAACCTTTAGACTCTAAGGTTGACCTCCATAATTCAAGTTTACCTTCAACTCTCTCTAGTCTTATCAACAAGAAGAATATCATAAGCAAAAAGCATACAATAAAGCAAAATGAATGTATAGAATAAGAGAAAGAAATCAAAATTAAATTGACTTCTATTTTATTTCTATCCAAAGATAATTTCAGTAGATATTTAATCGTGAATTATATTTTCAGATTACTCGATTGATTTATCAACTTCAGCATGAGTGATATTTTATTTATGATCTTTTATGCCTTAAAAACATAGATAGATTCATTTTTAATCATAATTTTGTCAAGATATAATCTTATTTTTATTTTTCAATTCAAGTTTTAACTCTTTCTCAATTGTAAGTATAAGTTCATGTATATATTCTAGTATGCAATATGACGTTGAATCATATTTAACAAATGCAAATTCGTCTTCTAATTTAATATTCAAAGAATATTCGTGAACTACAATTTTTTTTTCATAAAATTTGATTTATCCATGCAAGATTCTAATGTTGGTTTGTGTTTAGAATGCTTTAGATGGGATGATGATTTTTTAGAAATACTAATCAACGATGTAGTAGCTTTAATAGGAGGATAATTGTAACATTTCTCAAACTCTGGTACTTTGCATAAAGCCTTATTTTTATCTTGATGAATTGTGAGTTAATTCTTGCTTATTTACTTACATAGGATGTTTAATCAAATATATATTGATAAGAGAATAGTATAAAAGTACCATAATGTTTGGCCACAAAAATGTTAAACCTAATTACATATATAAGTACATTTTACTCACATTAACAATCTATTTGAATATTTACTCAAATATAAAATTGGAATCTAACATCCTTATCCAACCAAAATACAATCAAAGTGCAAACATTGATGCAACACAAATATTTCATGTTTCCGATGACAATGTAGGCTTTGAGAAGGCTGCATTAGAAGAGCTTTACTTGGTGATGTAGCATATTTGGCTGTGATATGAAAGAATTTTCTTTTTTCCCAGGTAAGGCTGAAGGTGTTCTGTTTGAGGACGATGGTGATGGATATGGGTACACACAGGGAGCCTATCTCCTTACGTACTATGCTGCAGAATTGAAATCTTCGACAGTTACAGTTAGAGTATCCCAAACTGAAGGATCATGGAAGAGGCCTAATCGTAGTTTACATGTGTTTATCTTGCTTGGGGAAGGAGCGATGGTACACAATTTTTTTAGTTATATTAATTTCTTGCTTGTGTTGCAAAATGTTTCTTAGCTATCATGACAAATACTTTTGTTGAATGAAGATTGATGGACTAGGAATTGATGGTGAGGAAGTGCACATCACGATGCCTTCAGAATCTGAAGTATCTAAATTGCAATCTGCAAGTGAAATCAAGTACAGAGAAAAACTAGGCATGTTTATTCAAGCAGTTTCCAGAACTGTATTTTTTTGTATTTTGAAACTTGATTACACTCCAAAGGAACTATTAACTAACTACTGCCATATACTCTTGAACGATTACAATTTCATTTATTACCATGGTAAAAAGCTCTTACATATCAAGAATGGTATTCTTTCTTTGTACCTTTGGTATGATTTTTTCCTTGAATGGGATTGGCTGTTGACAAACTGGATAAAAAGCAATTATTATGGATGTTTTAATGAAGTCGCTTATTTCAACTTTATCTGTTACGATTGAGCTGTTAGGATTATGTGTTTTTCACGTCAATTGGGTACAATCATATGGTGCAGATGATGCAAAGCTTCTTCCAGATGTTGATGATCTCTCTGGGCAAAAGGGAATTGAACTATCAAAGACACCTGTGGATATCAAGAGTAGGGACTGGCAGCTTAAAGTGGTCCCCTGGATTGGTGGTCGGATGATCTCCATGATACATCTTCCGTCAGGTAACAACTAACTTCATGCTAATCTATTTTATGTAATAATAGTTATAATGTTGCTAACTTGCAACTTGAAAGTGCTTTTCTCAATCTGATTGATAACTTAAAACCCGTGCCTCAATAGGATTCTTTACTAAAAAGCTTTTCCCTTCTTTAAAAAAAATTATAATTTTATAACTAAATAGTGATAAATCTACAATTAGGACAAATAACTAGATTTGCTCTAAATAAAAAAAGAGAAATGCATAGTATAAAATAAAAAGATAATATGGAACACAAACATTCATCAAAATATGAAACAACTCAATGGGCCTTTCTTGAAGCCTAGTGAAAATAGCTGAATGGCAATGTTTTTTTTTCTTCTTATTTTGGCCTCATCTGATAAATAAGATCTGAAATCTCCTATTCACCAATGAGTTATCAATCAAAATACCCCCATTAGAATCAAGGGAATGCTGTGAATCATCATTATCTGTCTTCACCAAATATATAGTAGAGAGTAGAGGAACTTCCAGAGTAGTTGATTAATATTGAAGATGTTTTGACAACCTTGCAGTTATAGTAATTGCGTGCTGAGGGATCTAGAGTTAGACCAGGGTAGAATGGTTCTATAGTCAGCGGGATCAATTGGGAGGGCAGCCAAGGTTTCTGTTCTCTGATACAATGTTGAGAGGAAATATTTGTGTTTTATTAGCTTGTATGAGGGTCTTTAAACAGGCATATAGGAGAATACAATAATGGAGTAAATATTAAAAAATTATATTTTGAATTATGAGTATATCTCCCAAATATAATCTCCTTCCATTATTAAAAAACGATTATGCCGGTTCAAACAGAACCGGCCAACGGGCCAGCTCAACAAACCTACAAGAGGTGGAAACAGTTCGCTTCCTCTCTTGTTCCGCCCAAAAGATGGGTCCCACCCATCTAAGTGAATTCAAATTGAGGGGGGGGGGGGGGGGGGGGGGGTCTAATCATGTCCAAATTACTAAGGGAAGTGATTAGAGGGGTTTGAGTGGGTTTGATGTTGATTTGGGATTTGATTGGATGTAAAGGGCTTAAAGTTTGATTTTGTCAACCTAGGTTGAGTTGGTCAATCAGGTAGACCCACGGATAGGGTTTAGGCTCAAAAAATTTATTGAATTTAGAATCATGTATATGGATTTGTTTGGTTCCATTAGTATAGCCAAATTAGATGGAAAAATCTTTAGATATGTGATTGTGGATGATTATTCAAAATTTATATGGGTTAAATTCTTAGCTCACAAAAGTCATTTGATGAATTTAGAATATTCTCCACACTAATTCAAAGAAAATTAGGTTGTGAGATTTTTACTATCTATAGTGATCATGGTGTAAAATTTGAGAATGAGATGTTTGAATCTTTCTATAAGGAAATTGGGATTGAATGTAAGATTTTTTTCCACTAGGATCACTCAATAGAATGAAAGAGCTAAAAGGAAGAATAAAACTTTAGTGGATGCTATAAGGGCTATATTAGCAGAATATTCCCTCCTTAGATACTTTTGGGTAAAAGTAAT